AAATCGGAGACGATGTGCCTTCTAAGCGAATCAGTTCATTCCGGTTTTTCTGGGGATGATCTTTTGCTGAAATGTGTTCGCTTTTGAGCAGTTTCAAAACTACAAATTACGGTGCTATGTGAGACACTTGGGCACTCCTACTTTTGAGCAGAAGGAACATCGGGAAAATACTATTACTTGTCGCCCTTTTCCCGGAGTTTTTACCCACTCTTAAACTAGTTTTAGCAAAGGTAGGAACTTTGGGGAAAGGAAAGCCTGACCCACGCCAGAGTTCCTACCTTACCTGTCTACCCGACCCACGTTGCGCCCAATTGACTCCAGTTTTTCTTTTAATTCTCCCTTGCTTACATACAAAATTATGTCTCGGAGAAATCTCGGCAATCTGTCGTTCACTCTTTGTTGAGGAAGTCTCTTGCAAATGAGTGTTATTGCTATTCCAACGTTTATTTATCACGGTGCTTTCCAATGCATTTCAAATAAGAAAGAAAGAGTGACCTGCGGTCCTTATATAGCCGTTCAAGTGAAATCGAATGAATGCTTATATATTCTTTGATTTGTTTCTGTTTTGAAGGATCAAATTCCCGATTTGTTTAGCCGTTGCTTGAGTCTTTTTTGAATATTCATGTGTAGCCGAATTTGTGGGGACTTCATACAAATTGTAGTCGACTCGTTCGAGTCATAAATTAGAATGAAAAGGATAAGAAGAATAGCGATTGCTTTCACCACATGGCCGTTTTCTACGATTTCTCAAATGTTGGGGGTTTCGCTGAATCTGATTGACACTTGTGTTGGAAGGTTTTTCATGTTCTCGGAAGTGACAGTCAATCAGACAAGTGTTCAACGAAAAGATTTGTTGTGCTTCAACGTCTGATTTCTCCTTTGTTCTGTGGAAAATTTGGCTGAAAGAGTTCTTAGTTCGTTTCTCCTTTGAAGGTGTTCCTGGCACTTTGTTTTGAATTGTCACTGTATTACTAACCATTTTTGAAACACATAGCATAAGCATTAATTTGTCATTGGAGTCCCATTGAAACGATTTTTTCTATGCTATGAGCTCTTATGGTAAGAAATAGTTCCTTTTTGGCTCATCGGCTTTGCAATATTATTTTGCCTTCTTCTCGTGGATAAGATGAGGTTTATGGCATTAGCAATTTTTTGGTATAGACGTCAATATATACCGGACGAATGTCTTAGTTGTTTCACTTGCTGTGTTTACATTTCCATTTACGCAGTAGTGATCAAAATTGTTTTCCGTCGTGCATTCTTTCTTCTCGCAGGAACACTTAAAGTTCTTCTGTAAAAGAAATAATCTATCAACTTTTGAGAAAAAATCTGGTAGAGTGAAAAAGTGCGAATATTCATAGTGATGCGGGATTCAATTTTTTAGTTCATTCGGCAATTTTTTGAACGGCAAGCAAACTTTTTTATTGTTAAATAGCTCTTTCTTCTTGTAAATATTGCAGTCCATTTGTGACCAGTTTTTTAGTTCAGGGTCGGAACCCTGTTCAGTTTTGAGAGTTTCTTTGGCCTTTTGGCCTGATCAGTAAAGACCCGTTCATAGTTCGCGATTCAGCGCTTTGGCGATTTGACAAACATGCCGAAAGGAATTTACGTGTAAGCACCTGGCCAAGGAATCGCCGACGCCATGTCGATGAAGGAACATAAGGCGAAGTCATTTTGATCAATGTGCATATAATTACTTTGGCGGAATCGCCGAATCGCACCCATTCACGAACTATGAACGGGGCCTAAGAGTGATAGTGTTGTGTTTCCTTAATGAAGCAGGGCTGTGCTACTAGCGAACACTGCCTCAAAAATGGTCTGTGTAACGCTTCATGTGGGGTGGTGTTATTTCATGCCGAGCGGAAGCTGTATTACGTCTTCTGGTGTTCTAGCTCAAAGAAATTAACAAGAAATCTTTTACAAGGGAACATTTACCTTCTATTTCTTATATTGCTATGATAATCGCAATCATAACTGCGTCGCGTTCGTCCCTCTCTTACGGTGTCTAGTCAGCTCAGGAACAACGTACGCTGTTGATAACACTGAAGTTCTGTTTAGTTTTCTCTCCAATTCGGCTTCAAACGCCTTTTTTCATTTTTTTAGTCCTTAAAGCTGCCTCTTCGTTCATCTTTTAGGCGCAATGTGGCTCGGGGGGGCCAGTCGCCGCGCGCGATCTCTGCGTTTTTCTGTGTAAGCATTTCCTCTTCGCTAAATCGGGACTAAGCCTCGGGCAGGGGAGGAGGAACTCCAGGATCATAGCAATTTTCATCTTCCCAAAGTTCCTGCCCACTCCTAGGCTTAGTACTACAGGGCGCGGACGAGCAGAGATCGCGCGACTGGCCCCCTCCGAGGCACATTGCACCATCTTCTCATAGCATTTCACGCGCTCCTTCCCCGCGCATTCCTTACAGCGCGTTTTTATTTGTCGCACGTCTTTTCAACATACAACTGACCTCTTCATCGTTGCTAATTTGACTTATGCTGTATTATTTTTCGGAGTAGTGTCTTCAAACTTTTTCATCCCCTCATTTTTTTTCTAATTGTAGCAGCTTTAGCTCATTGTTGGGACGATCGATGGACCGTCTCCGGCGATCCATTCGTCAGTCATTCCGTCGAGGAGGACGACGTAGCCCTGAAAGTAGCGCACCCTCAGAACTTGTAACGACGTCAAACGGCGCAGGTGGCCACAAACAGGAGCAATGGCAACCTGATGAAGCCGCCGTTAGAGCCGGATTGTGTCACTTCACTGTCAAGGTGCGGATTTGTAAAATTCACTTTCTTTTGTTTTTAGTTCATTTTGGTTTGAATTGGTTGTATTTAGTATTTGGGAGCAGTGGAAGTTTATGAGTCTCGCGGAATGCAAGTTTGTGAAGGGGCCTTGAAAATGCTTAGAGTGAGTTCCTTTCGTTCACATATGGATCACTTCCAAACTGAATACTTTATTTCCAGAGCAATAGAAGACGACCTATAAAAGCAGTTCTTTATGTATCCGGAGACGGACTACGCGTTGTTGATCAAGAAAATAATAGAGGTCTGATTGTGGATCAAACAATAGAGAAGGTAAAATTGGTCTTGAACTCTTTTCTAGTTTCATTCCTGAACATATTACAATGGGAGTCCTTGGAAAATTTTAGAGCTCTACAGCCTCCATCTCAGAAACTTGCCTTTTCATTTTCTCTTAGTTGTTCATCATTTGTGTTTGAGAGGGTTGCTAGAGTACTGATCCTCTTTTATTCTGTTTTCTTCTACTTTTATCAACTGTTTGTACTAGAAGGTGAAAGGAACGTTCCTATTGTCCGTTCTCCATCGTTTATTAAACCGTGACGTCTTTGGCAAATTAGTGTAATCAGCTCATTATTTTCTGTGCATTTTTGCTATATGTTGGAAGAAGATCAGTTGGTCGTCAAAGTTTCGCCCGTTTAGGCTCCCTTGTAACTTTATTGTGGGAAGTGTTCTTTTTACCGCTTCTGAAATAGAACTGAAATTTGAAAAAATAAAGCTAAAACGTTGTAGAAAGGGTCACTAGCGTAAACGAATCCGGTCTCAGTTGATTAGATAATAGGACTCGTATTGTAGAAAGCTAAACGGGGCGCTAGTGGCATGGCGTGTGACTGAGAAATTTATCTCAAATAAATATTTCAAGTCAATAATATTTATTTATTACTATGCACTCGCAGGTACGCTACAATAAGTAGTCAGAAACCAAAATATCGTAAACAATCGGTTGTAAATCGTAAACATCGATTTGAAAGAAACTCAAATTAAGCAAACAAAATTTATCGAAATTCAGTTCACATACATTCATTCATTTGTGTGCGTTTCTTTGAGAAGTAACTACAGGTCTCATTCTGCGCACCAGATCGTAATAACGACAAAGGATTCGCTTATATATGTAGAGATGGGACCTCGAGGAGATGGATGTGTCATGGCTTTCATGCGACAAAAGAATCGGTTCGTGGCAGTGGAAGTACTTGAATCTTTATCAGCGCTGTGTCTTTTTAGGGTGAGCGTCTCTCTCATGCTGTTGGTTGTGCGTTCTCTATATGTCTAGAAAGAAAGAAAAAACGTGATGAGGAAAATGTGCAAAATCTCGAGAAAGCGCTGAATCCGAACTGGGAGGATAAGAAGTAAGCGGTTCACTTTTCTGATTTCCTTGTTCTGCTCTCTGCTCTTTAAAAGATTTACTGGCCTTCCAGTGATGCAACAACTGCTCTACAACGATTACAGGTATATTGACTGTTTGGTTTTTCTTTCTGTTAAGCGTTGTTTGAGCACGACATTGCAGGATCCGCAGTCAGCAATTGTAAATAATGCTCCTCTCAGTTCTGCCATCATTCTCGTTGTATGCTATACGAAGCCTATTGGGGTTTCCTGGGTGTTTCTCATCTCAGGTGATAGGGACTAAGGAAATCTTTCCGTTCCCCTTTAGTAAAGGGTTGAGATTTCGAAAAGGTGACATTGGGTTTCCTTTGAATTCAATCTAGACCGAGGGCCATATCACATTCTTACCCCAGGGAACGCATCCCTCGCCACTGATTCAATCTAAGGTTGGGCTACCCTCCCTTTTGAAGCACTTCGAAAGGTCGCGCTGCTGTGTATTCTAACTGTCTAGAAGGTAGAAACGCAAAGTACGGTGGGTCCTATGACGCAACACTCTCCCTTCCAATCTTGGTTAGGATCGGCGTTGAGGGGCACGTCCGCTGAAGGAAGGATTGGACACGGACCCAGAGTGCAGTTTGCAGCTTGATCGCTATATCGCTGTTGTGGTTGAACAAAATTAGAGGGTAGTTGAATGGTTGTCGTTTGTCTAAAGCCACTTCGCAATGGAAAAAATGAATATGGGCTCTGCGAACTGATCAGATCATGGTCTTTCGAAAGGCTTTTTGTTTTGTTTCCTCAATTAGAAATAATGTTGCGGTTCTTAGTTGTAATTTGTGAAAATTGTGGAATGTTCCATTTACGACTTTTTGAGATCTAATGGAGCCTTTTTAAAACATTTTTCTGGATTACTTTAAAATAATTAAGTCAAGGTTCAAGTGAGTTGTTGGACCATTGCGTGAGTAACCATGCATCAATATCCTTGAAGGAGAAGTTCTGAAGCACGTAACATATGATGTTTCTATTTGATTTAGCTTAATTTATCTTACTTTCCTATTCAGGGCTCACTCCGTGCACCTGAATCATCAACAGCTGCACAGTTCCGACGGAATTACTCATTGCGAACGAATGCTCTGAGCCTTGATGGTCATCCCGCGGTCAGTCCTCTTTTCTCGTTGACATGTTTGCATTCGCTTTATTTTAATTACGAGCCCTATCTTACCCGGGAAGCCGTTCAGGACGTGGAGTGTATTTGTAGTGCTGAATAATTCCATATCGGGAGTGTCATATTTTTAGTGAATGAGTTCAGACATGAGGGAAAGAAAGTGGAAATCAAAGAAATGTAAAAATTTTATTTTGGTGGGGATTGAAGTAAAAACCATTGTTTCTACATATTTGACATTGCCAGCAGAGCCACCTAGAAAAAAATGATCTCCAGTTTGCTGTTCCACGCGCATACCCCTATAACATGCAAGAAACCGTTTCGAAAAGCGCTCATCGTCCTGCAAGCCTTCCTGGTTAGCGGTGTTGCATCTTTTAGCAATGAGACTAAAAAAGGAGCGTTATCATGTTTTACCAGTTTATGTTCTTGTGATTGTGGATGATATGAGTGTTTGAAAAAAACTGGCGAATCTTTTCTGTCACTTTTTGACTTTGGCGCAAACGCACGCTTTCAAGGGCATAGAAAGCTTTCCTGAAAGGTTTGCATTTTATTGTAGAGTAGCTTGGGGAAGCGTGAGAGTGAGCTAACTTTGCCTCTTCGACCACTATAAATGCTAATAACAGCGTGATGAGCATTTGGTTGTGAATAGGATTTTTACTCATTTATGACACTAAGAACTTCATAGCAAGTTGAATTTTGCCAAACTGCTGTCAAAAATATCCTGAATTTGTTCATTACTCTCAGCATCGGTACAAAAAGTACCACTGTTTTCACCTCTCTTTTAACCTAACATATAACTCTTCCTTCTATTATATGATTTCTAAAGGCTGGTGTTTCCGTGTGTGCTGCTGTAACGTGACTTCGATGATTTGTGTTTACCTCAAGACCATTCAAAAAACGTCTCAAAGAAGCTACTCATAAACTGGAAAAATTATTATTTTGTGACTGTATACGTCAGTAACAGCTCTTTTGTGATTCCGGCTTTTCTGAGCCTGTCGCTGTATGCGTAACTTATGTGCAGAACTTGTTATTCATGAGATGCGAGTCCTGTAAGCGGATCATCGGTTCGGAACTTGTTGTCATCGTTAAACTTTTGTCAGCAAGCAGTTTCCGTTTTTGCTGTCTTTCTCACCATCTGCTCTCTTCTTTATTCACTGCGATCGGCATACTCGACATGAATTCTATTCGCGTAGCGGAGTTCCTTGATCTTGAGTATTTGTTAGCGCTAACATATAAATTGGGAGACGATCTGAAGGAAGAGGTGTTTATGAAAGCCGAACAGATTCGTCGTGCCCACGCGAATTTCCGTCTCAGACTTTATAGACCACTGCCTTTGGTATGTTTTTATACAGTAGTGGTGATTGAAGAGAGCACAGCAGTTATTATTCGAAATTCCCATTCACCTGTTATCTATGTTCAGGTGTACGGCAAGCAATCGCTCCATAATGAACCGATTTACGAAGGTGAGGAAGAGAGCAGTGGTCAACAGGCGGCTCATTTTGCTCCTACGACCACTTTTGCAGATGAAAGTGGAAGTATGACAGCACCTCCTGTCTTCCCAGGTTTGTCATTTTAGATATGTCTTCATTTCGGGCGGTCCTTTTTTGTTAAGGATAAAAAAGCATGAAGCATTTGCTGTTGATCAACCCTTTGTTGGGATGCGGCATACATTACTTCCATATGTGCTGTACTATTCGTAGTGGTACTTGAATGCGATTTGGCCTTATACAATGACTTGCGTGGGGGCCAGCCGATGTACAAGTCAGTGTTTTCTTATCTTGCATGGACACGTACGACACATACCGCGCGCGTGGTAAGCAGCGCCAATTACCACCA